CCAGCGTTAGCAGAAAACATCGTTGATATTCTATGCAACCGGTTGCAGGCCAGTGATCTTCAGTTAATTTATAGAGTCTGTACCGATTGCGACAATCGGAATTCGTCTGAAATTTGAGAACCACCTTGAAGGAAATCGGCTAATGAAGAAACGTACATTTCAACTCGCGCTCGTAGCGGGCTTGGCATTTGTAATGTCATCCCAAGCTCACGCTCAGGGCGTGTTTGACGACGGGGGCGCTGACTCCAATTGGTCAACTGCAGCCAACTGGGACAACGACGCGTTACCTGTGGCAGCTGACAATGTTGTAATCGGAAACGAAGCTTTCAGCGGCGTGACAGCGAATTACGACGGCGGCACAAGCGTGATCAACGATTTGCGCGTTGGTAATGGTGCTGGTTCACTGGGTGCCACTGGAACATTCGACATGAACTCTGGTTCATTGACTTCCAATGGTTGGGCATTCGTCGGATCCGATGCAAACGCTGCCAACACAAATGCAACCGTTGGTACTTTCAACATCGGTGGAACTGCAACGTTCACAGCAAATCAGCGTTTTTACGCAGGCCTTGGCGGCGGTGCTGGTGCGACCGGTACAGGTACCATCAACGTTTCAGGTGGAAACGTTGTCATGGGCGAAGCTGGAATTTTCGGCGCCAACGATGACAATTCTGGAATCGTTAACCAAACCGGTGGAACAGTGACTTCAAACGGCTGGGTTACAATCGGTGAGAACACTGGTGCACAAGGGGAATATAATATCTCTGGCGGTTCAATGACCGCCAACGACTTAACGGTTGGCCAAGCTGGAGCAGGCACAAACGGCATACTTGACATTAGCGGCACGGGCTCAGTTACAGTGAATGGCACGCTTGACGGTGACGGAAACCAAGTTGGAGGTCTCTTTGTTGGTCGCGATGAATTTGGTGACGCAGGAGCCGCTGGGCAAGTCAATTTGAATGGGTTTGTGAACGAACCCATGACGCCGACCGATGGCCCGTTGACCTACGACAAACCAATCTGCCTTGCCGCTTCAAACCCTGCGACCGCTACAGCATTGCTCAGGTTGATGCTTCTGACATTGGGGTGAGTTGGAATCCGCAAAAGCGAATCGGAGTGCTTCGACGTGATTGATTTTGGCAGACCCTTCGTTTCGCATCCAAACACCAGTGTGTCGGCGGATACATACGAAACGTCCAGATAGCTACTGGTCGCAAACCGGGAAAACAACCACATCGAATCCGGTTGGCGTTTCTCCAAGAAGTCATCCCAATCCTCGGTTACTTCCCATTCGAGGTGTTGCCAATAATCCAGCCCTGCTCTTCGGAGCGTCTTTTCTGTAATCTCAAAGCCAAGTGGCTTGATCAGCCAAAGTTTTGCCTGCAGCGCAACACAAGTCCTTCCGATCGCTCCGGTGTTAGGAGGAATCTCAGGTTGATGCAAAACGATGTGGAGTTGTGGTTCGTACTTTTGCAATTGTGAAGTCTCTATTGAATTGGCAATTCGCTAATGAAAGCTGAGTCTATCTCATCGACGATTGAATTCTCTTGGGCGGAACAATATTCTGGTGGAATCGATCATGTTGCGCCAAGGGTGTTCCAAAAGGTTCTGTTCGGCTTCTGTTGCTGATTTCGTTGAGTCTGACTTGATGGCCCGTCGGGGATCGTCATTCTAAGCAATTGTTGCCGTGGCTCCTCGATCGTGGGTGGATTGAATTATTCTTTGATCATGTTTGGCGCATTGGTAAGAAACGCATCATGAGGTTAACCACGAATTCAAAATCGACTCCGTGTGTCAATCGTTTTTCTGACAAACTCCTCGAACACTACTTTTGTACGTTCAGAGTTGATGACATTGAAACAGGCATTGAGGGCTTCACACCAGCATTGATTGAACGTTTGCCGGGCGGCAGAGTTAAATGTAGTGGCGACGGAAGGGTCGCTGCTATGGCGGGGAATTTTGCCGTCGTGCTTCAGGAAATTCCTTTCGGCCCCGCTATCGAAATTTCTGTAAACGAGGGTGTTTTGGAACGAGACCAAACAAAATGGAATGTCGAAGACCTCAAGTTGACCGCACGTGTTGTAAAGATGCTTAAATCTGGTGCGCAGAAATTGGAAGACTCAATCAAAAACAATAAAGTTGCGATAGCAATGGTGGTTAGCTTGAACCTGAAGGCTGGAAAAATGCGTTTTGGTGCACAGCTCTATACCCCAGAAAACCCCAGTAACTTCGAGAAATGGACAGGATTCTAAATGTCAAAGGATGTGGAAATCGAATGCGTCATTTCGTTGCTTGGTCTATCCAACGAGGATGTCGCCACTCTGCTCAAAGTATACAAAAGCGATATGTCCTCGTTTGTATCAAGGGATGGTTACGAAAAGAGTGGGCAGTTGATGATGAGACGGTATGACATCGCAGGTCATGAGTTGGGTTTGGTCGCTCAACATATTGGTGTTCTGACGCTTCCAAAAGACGAACTGAAGGCGCTAATTGGTAGAGGGCTCAATCTCAGCCTCGATTATCTTGATGGTGAATACCGAAATGAGCTGCCAGATGGTTCGTACATGTCTTACGGAAGCAATGATCTCACGTGGTTCAGGGTATTTCGAATTGGTGTGTATTTCGCACTGATTTTGAAAGATCCGGAGGCTCTAAAGAAATTGGGGCATTGGCTCACCGATGAAATCCTATTCGATGAGTCTTCATTTCTCTTGCGGCCCGAAGACAACGACTGCTATCGATTTTTGGCGCAGATTCTTTGCGGCACTCACGCTAATTCGGAGTATCCAGAACGTATTCAGGCTGCACGGCCGAAACGCGCGAAGCTGCTACTCCAGTGTTTTCAAGAGGTTGCCACCGGCCAGAAAGAAGGCAACATTCGCTCTGTCGCCAAATTTCTGAACTATTTTCAGGAACGGTATTTTGCTGACAGTATGTATGAGTACTACTCAATTGATGCTTCAATTGCTGTCGAATTAGGGAGATTCATGAATCTGCCGTTCGACACTGGAGCCCTCAAGCGAAAGCAAAATGCGTTGATCATCACGGCGGATTCTTTAAACCTCAGAGAATAAAAGACATTTTTGCTGCCACAAATTCGGTGATTTTCTCTTATCTTGGTTTTGAACGAGGCACACAGAAAATCGCTTCCGCACAGGAAGGGGTGGAAGTTGCAGTGGACCTTTTTTTTGGCGACTGGTGGCAAGAGCAAAAGGATTGGTGGAGCACAGAAGACGAGAAGAATGAGTGTATTGGTTGGTATAAACAACTTCCCCGCTCCCTACTATTGGCTTGCTTAACTGAGAGTTGGCCAGTGCTCAAACAGCTGTGCGGATGGTGCAAGTTTGAGCACTCGATGGGCCACTTCGGAGATCTT